AAGAAAGTTCTCATCGACGAAAATATCATTCCTCACGTTCAAGCCAGGACTCGGGTCTCACGAGCCAGTCAGCCGGGAATCTGCCTTCTCCTCTCCTCGTTTTCTCTGCCTCGGGGCGGAGCGTGTCACTTCTCACTGGACACATTTCTAAGATGGTGGCTCTGGTGGTTGGGGCTCAGGGACCTGTTTTATTCCCTACTCCCACAAACTCGGCCTCCTTGGGAAGCTAGACTGCTGGGAGTCTTGTTGCCTGTGGCTGTGGTCCTCAACCAGGGAACTCTGCAGCTTCTGGAAAAGAAGGTGCCCACTTGGAGTTGGCACGTGGCTCCCAGACCTGTGACCAACACGCTTTAGGGATGTGAGTATTGTTCGCTGGAAAGAACTGGGAGCAGGGACGACAGACAGGAGAATCTCAGAGCAGTCTTCACCACCAGCCGCTCAGATTCCTCTGCAGCCGATACCCGTCTGAGCCTCCATGCTCAGGGTTCCTTCCGATGGGAGCCTGTTTTTACGGCTGCCCGGCAGGGCTGAACCAGCAGCTGTCGTGTGCACAGTGTGCGTGTGTGTGTGCGCATGTGTGCGCACGTGTGTGTGTGAGTGTGTTTGTGTGCATGGCATTGGGGCGAGGAGTCCTCTCAGGCTGGGTCTGAGAGGCTGGGCCTGGGTGATGTCAGTTGCCATCACATGGGTCCCAGCTTAGGGCAACTTTACATGCTACAGAAACAGCACCGAGTCCCGCGCAGTCTCCACGACTGTCGCCGTCTTTGAGCCGTCGCTGTGGTTCCTGTGTCCGTCCATCTCACAGAGGGTCCCCCTCATTTACACTGACCCTCTGCCAGCCATGATGTCCCTGTCGAGCACTTGGTCTCGCTTGATGATGGGTCCAAAGTGAGCAAGATGAGGTCAGCCTCCTTCGCTTCCAGGTGGGCTCTGCTTGGGTTTCTTCTCAGGCGGGGCTGGTTCTTCCTTCTGGCAGTGGCCGGCATGCTCACTGTTCTTCACTGACACTGTGATCGGAGCGTGACGGCTCCTCTTCAGTCTTCCTTTTTCGTTGTCCAGCTTTCACAACTGTATAAGGCGACTGAAAAGGCCATGGCTTGGTCAGGCACGGTCCTGGTACAGTCAGGCATGGTCATGGTACGCTCAGGCACACCGTACCACCGAAGTGACATCTTTGCTTCTTAAAACTCTAACAAAGACTTTTGCAGCAGATTTGACCAGTGCATTCC